TGGTCGAATCTTGGTATAAGCTAGACGAATATCGTGATGATCCATCTATACGTTTTTCTCGTAGGATGCTGGAAAGGTACATGGGGAGTTAATTGTTTAAATCCCTGTCCTGCTAACTGCATAGCCAATCACTGCTACCCTGGCAATGGTTCCTGTGTTTGGGGATGTGATTGCCTCCATGACACGTGTGATATGATCACCAGTATATGCACAGAAGGATGTAAAGCTGGACTTATTGGACAGTACTGTAATAACACTAACTGTGAGTCCTTTGTCTATAAAATAAGGAAATTTTAAATCAAACATAAAAGTGTTAAACAAAATTATAGAAATAAAAACAAAACACGTATTACATGTACATGTAATTTCGTTTTGATATTAATTGATTTTGGTACAGGTATATTAGTTAAATCCTATTGATGTATCAATTTTTTCTGGAAAGTTATTTCAAAAGTTTGTTTTACTAAACGATTTGAGAATGACATAATTAAAGAGTTAGTATTTGCTGAGATGAAAAACATTAAGTAAGAATATGTAAAGAAAGACAATGTTATTTCGGAAATTGCTTTTTGAAGTGGATTTGTTAGGGGATAAAAAATGTGTATAATTTTAATTTTGCATTGATTCATTAAACACTATAAGACCGTTTACGATTTAGTTTACCCTAATTATATAAAGTATCACTATTATTCATCATTTATATTTACCTTACAGATAATCTTGCTTCTAATGGGATAGCAACTCAAACTCCTTCGAATGCATATCATCCAGCATATCTGTCAGTCGATGGAAACCGAACCGGTATTTGTTCAATGACATCTGGATCTAAATCATATCTCCATGTTGACACTGGTTACATGAGTGTCATAACTATGGTTTATATGACTTTTGGTGGTAAGTTACTTTAGAGATGTGACTAAGGTTTTCATTTGAAATATCGTATGCATAGGTGTACCAAGGTGCCCCTCAAATGATTCCTGATGTGTTTTTCCTGTTACAGTCCGTTGATGACACATATCCAATTGCAAGGTTTCATTATCTTCCTATAAGAACTACCACATGTTACCATACGGGTTACAATTATTAAGTGTATGCAAATGTTTTGAAAGTTTTCAGATATATATAAATTTTCATGACATCACGACGGTCATTCAGGTACATGTAAATGATGATCGGTTTATTACAGTACTTAATTCTTGTAAGTTTAAAGTTGCGTTCTATATATGTTCTGCATAGTCAGCACAAGAACAATTTCACAATCACTTTAAGTGAAAGGTTGTGCAAAGACAATAGATCACTACTAATGATGGACTATTTGACTACCACCCTTAAATGAGCGTATGGTTGATATAAGGGATGTCAACTCGGTGAACAATTACTAATCGAGTACTCGTAGGTTTTATCGAGCGATACTCCACGGCTGTAGTTCGGTATATCGAGACAAATTATCGTGAAAGAATACCTAACGGTGGTCAAGTATTGCGATCGGATCGTGAATGTAATTAATTGTAATTCTACTTCAAAATCTGTGAAAAATCTGCTGTATTTCCGAAATGCGGTACAAATCCGAAAAAAAAATTATGTCTGTCAAAATTGTTGAACTTTCTCAATAATACTGTGCAATAAGATAGATAAAATAAGCAGTACTCTTTGAGAAAACACAAAAATCGCAACACAAGTATATGGGATTAATTAAAAAAAACAACACGTTTGGTCACATTACAATATTTACTGATATATTAAAACTGAATCTTTTGTGTGTCAGATAGAACAGTAAAATGAGAAAAAAAAAATCAAAATTGGTAAGAGATTTGCTCTTTTTACCTATAATAGTTTACCTGTAATCTTTATAAAATTTACCAAAGACATGGAAAGATGTTCACATATTCTTTGATAGTTCTTCCCAACAAACGACAAAATTAGAAAAAAAAATATTCGGGTAAACCAGACATAGTCCAATGAAAAAAGTGCAAATGTTCTTTTTTTAAAAAGCGAAACTGTCATAAAAATTAAAGTGCAAATGTCCATTAAAAAGCGCAAATGTCCTATCAAAAAGCGCAAACGTCCCGCGCCGGACCAGACTTAATAATCAGAAAACAATATTGTTTTACCAATTGATATACTTGCAACTACATGTAGTTAAAGCGTGTAATTATTTTGATGAGAACACACATTAATGCTTTCATGTTTGTTCACTTGTTTTTGTAATTCAACACTTTCCCTTAAAAGTTACTAAAATAACTAAAAACCTGTCTAGATAAATAGATTTACAAAATGAAAGTACTATCAGGAGCGTGAATTGTCGAAAAGTAAAAGTATTTATGTATCTATAATGCTTAATGCACCAGCCCGGGAAATATATGCATGTGTACGCATAGTGTTTTTTTTTGTGTAAGGGTTGTTAATTTCAGTTATTTGGAGTGTCCTTTGTGCGTACATAGTATGACAATATTGGCTAATTTATTGTTTGTTTCGTGGCTGCGCTGACATTTACTAAAAACGTACCAAGGAAACGTTATTTTTACTTTATAATTGTTTGATCAGCCTGTTCACAATAGTTTTACATAATTGTACCCAACTTAGTGGGGAAATTACCAATCAACGTACCTCAATGGTGCATGATGACGAGCTTTAACTGTAATTTAACCGGTTAAGTTCTTCTCTCAATCTTAAATTTGTACAAGAAATCAAAACTTATGAAGGACGGACAAATATACTGATATTGATATAAGGCACCTAGTCGGCATGTGGTATTATAAGATAATCAGATCCAACGGCATTGAACGATTATAGCCCTATTCACCAACAAAAGAGAACCGGAATGAGTCATGCAAATCCAATATTTGCTATACCGATTAAAAATATAAATTATCAATATTAAGTAAATGATGATTTGAACGTTTTCGTAGAATCAGATCTTTCACGATCCTTTTCACGATCTTCAAAAAGCGGTACGCGATCTTTCACGATCCGAAAAATCATTTTTTTATAAATATTTCATTTTTGCAAAATTTCTGATTATGCAAAAAAATATTTTAAGAACCACATGAACCATTTGAATAATAAAAATGGAATGACCTTTTTCAAAGAAAAATTGTTTAATCATTCGAATTATGAAAAAAATCTTGTTTGTTTACATATGCAATGTCATTGAAATGTCGAGGAGCAATCATCTGCCTTTTGTAGTTATGTAAAAACGGTGTACTTTTAAACCTTGATTTTTTTTCAGATACTGATCATAATGTTGAACCATTTTGACAGACAATTTTATTTTTCTGTAAATTTGTCCGTATAATACATTAAATAAGATTAGTAATTGACCTTGCATATGTCTTCTCGATAATATTTCTTGCACGATCCTATATACCAGAGCTTTCACGATCTAACCGCAATACTTGACCACCGCTAGGTAATCTTTCACGATCATTTTTCTAGATATACCGAATGACACCCGTGTAATCGAGTACTCGCTCGGGAATATCTTCAAAACGGAAACACAACAATACGTTCTTTACATTCTGTGGTTTGTTGTTTAACGGAAGAAAACCATGTACATAAATAAGAAATTACACACCATGATTAATAGCTCATTACCTACAAGTACTAATTAATGTAAACAAAACAATGATCTTATCAATATAATTTAATGAACACCTATTTAAAAAATTATAACAAGGAAAACTTATTTCAAGAATAGTATTTGATAAACGTTAAGAAAACACGTAAAGATTAGATGTTTAACTATTCATCACTGAAAGTCACCAGAGGTTGCAACGAGTTTATTTTATTTGGAAACATTTTCTTGTGAATTATTATTTGGGACAGTTGGTTTTGTAACTTTGTAACTAACAGTCTTGCAGAAGAAAAAAAATGGTCTGACGGTACCGATGTGACGGAATGACTAAGACATGTTCAGTTTACAGTGTTAGCCTAAGTATAACCCAAGAAGGCATTTTAAAGGACAGTTTAAGCACAAGCATTCGAAACAAAATATATTTTAATTACTAATTTGATTAATCAGTGATGCCTCTTTAATTAACCAAAAAGAGGTTCTCAAGAAGAAGATCAATTTCATATAAAGAAGACAGTTATATTTATAAATGGACACCGATCAGTCGAGTATCGTTTTGGTAGTCAATACTCGGTACTACGGAGCGATACTCGAATAATCGAGTACTCGTTGACATCACTAGTTGATATACAGGGACGATAATGTTGTCTCACAACCCATGAACCCAGAAAACGGGAAGAGATTATGGCATTCTCTGTTTCACGAGGCATCGTTTTTAAGGTCTTCATTCACATGCACATACCCGCCGCGTATTACTACAGCACATTAATAAAGCCCATGTGGTTCAAACAAAAATGAGTACATGCATACTACCATGTCAAATAGCTTAATTCTAACAAAAAATAGATTTGTTTAACAATTTATTTGGAAAAGAAAGATATTGACTGAAATCATAAGGCATTACATTCAGTGTAGTTGAGAAACCTTACTCCAGATAAACATGATAAAGCTTTCCAAACAGTTGTGTACCTGTCAATATTGTACTTCTATATTCGTTTTGTGGTCATTTCAACTACATTTTATTAATAAGTCAACCTTCGATTAATGACGGATTTGCTCTTTGTGAATTTATAAAAATCTAAATCATGTTCTAAGCAATATTTACGTATCATATAACTGGCTCTAATGAATTGAATATTATGCATACATGTTGTATCAACTATCAACAATACTCTTGATAGTACTGTGAATTACATGTAGACAATTCGAGAATAAATCAGCAATTAATATTTATCAACATTTATAAAATTTCTATACAGTGTCTTCACCATATAATAACAGTAACTATTCAGTATATTGTTCAAACAAGAGTGACTCCTGGAATAACGGAATAGAAATATACAACGGTGAACGTCCGACGGAAGATATCTACGTAACTGCTGTCTGCAGATATATCATTTATGTACCACCAATAATAAAAGGAACTTCAATGGTAGATTTGTGTGAAATAGAAATTGGTGGTAAGTGCACAAATTCATCATTTTATCACAGAAAAGATGTATCGGTTGCTCTACGCTCCAATTGTTTGAAACAAAATTTAGAAAGTCAGTTTCAAAATATATTGAAGCTATACTATAAAGAATTATATGAAAAGAACAAACTAAAACAATGTACAATGTCAATTTAACAATGTTAAATGAAATAGCATAACTTAACTTTTATCAATTTTCAAAACCTATCATCAATATACAATACAAAACCTGCATTTGCAATGTAAACATTTGGTTTAGAGATGCAAATCAATAGTACTGGTTTTCCTGACTAAAATAGTATTGTTTCTTAAAAGTCTTTTAACTACTTCAGTCTTTTAAAAAAAAATGTTGTTTCTTACTACAGGTTGTCCTGTTGGAAAATACGGAGTAAACTGTAAAATGAACTGTTCAGCAAACTGTATATCAAAATCATGCGATTTGGATAACGGAAACTGTACATATGGGTGTACTGATGGTTGGGTCAATGAAAGGTGCAACGAAAGTAAGCTAATGTATAGAGTTAAAAAATAGAGATAGTTGTGCATTTGTGTTAGTAGCTCTAAAAAAAACCATTGTCTGTCTGTCTGTCGGTCGGTCGGTCGGTCGGTATGTATGTATGTATGTACGTATGTACGTACGTACGAACGTACGTCTGTATTTCTGTCTGTCTGTCTGTCTGTCTGTCTGTCTGTCTGTCTGTCTGTATGTCTGTCTGTATGTATGTATGTATGTATGTATGAATGGATGGATGGATGGATGGATGGATGGATGGATGGATGGATGGATGGATAGATGGATGAATGTATGGATTGATGTATGTATGTATGGATGGATGAATGGATGGATGGATGGATGGATGGATGGATGGATGTTATGTATGTATGTATGTATGTATGTATGTATGTATGTATGTATGTATGTATGTATGTATGTACGTACGTACGTACGTACGTACGTACGTACGTCTGTCTGTCTGTCTGTCTGTCTGTCTGTCTGTCTGTATGTATGTATGTATGTATGTAGGTAGGTATGTATGTATGTATGAATGGATGGATGAATGGATGGATGGATGGATGGATTGATAGATGGATGAATGTATAGATTGATGTATGTATGTATGGATGGATGGATGGATGGATGTAATGTATGTATGTATGTATGTATGTATGTATGTATGTATGTATGTATGTATGCGCAAAAACACAGTTTGCTTAATAAGAACGCCTATTTTAAGCTACATTTTACGGAATTTTGTAGTTCGTAAAATGGTAATCATTCCTGAATTTTGTTTTTAGCCTGTAGTGAAGGTTTGTTCGGAAAACAATGTTTGCACAAATGTTCACCTAACTGTTATATGACGTTTTGTGATCATGTGACAGGAAAATGCAATGGAGGATGTAACAAAGGATGGACTGATTATAACTGCTCAGAAGGTAAAAAAATATATTTGTCTAGTTTATAATAATATTATATTGATGACAGCCTGCAGAATATTTGCCTCCTTGTATCTCAGAAAATAGACGACATTTATAGAAGTTATAGGGGAGGGTTGAGATCGCACAAAACATGTTTAACCTCGCTGCATGTTGAGCCTGTTTCAAGTCAGGCGCTTCTGGCCTTTGTTAGTCTTGTATGGTTTTTTTTTAATTTTAAGTTCATTTATTTGTTTCGGAGTTTAGTGTGACGTTCATTTTTACTGAACTAGTACAATTTGTGTTTAAGGGCCAGCTGCAGTCCGCCTTTTGGTGCGGGATTTTCTCGCTGTGTTGAACACCCATTGGTGGCCTTCGGCTGTTTTCTGTTCTTTGGTCGGGTTGTTATCTCTTTGACACATTCCTCATTTCCATTCTCAATTTTCTTTTATTTATCTTTACAACTTTGCATATTGATGTAGTGTTGGATATATGAATTATTCAATGATGAAAATTCTCATTTTGAGCAAAGACAGAATTTGGAACCAAAATTTTATAGCGAGTCATATATGTATATATTGTGCACAGCGCACTCGTGATGAAAAATACATATCACATATTTTGAATATAAATAAACCTTGTCTTATAAGTGATATTTATTAATATCAATTATATCGATATTTATAAGTGAATAAAATAAATGAACTGATGTCTAGATATGTTTTTTTTTAAAATTCAAATTCAATACACAATATACAATACAAAACCTGCATTTGTAATGTAAAAAAGTAAAATCACAAAAATACTGAACTCCGAGGAAAATTCAAAACGGAAAGTCCCTAATCAAATGGCAAAATCAAATGATAAAACACATCAAACGAATGGACACCAACTGTCATATTCCTGACTTGGTACAGGCATTTTCAAATGTAGAAAATGGTGGATTGAATCTGGTTCTATAGCGCTAAACCTATCACTTGTATGACAGTCGCATCAAATTCCATTATATTTACAACGATGCGTGAACAAAACAGACATAATAGGTAACATTGTCAAAATATGGGTACAAGAATCATCACTGTGTCACAATCTCAAAACAAACAAACATTTCACAAAGAAGCACAAAAAGCATCTATCAAATTTAACATCCACATTCATTGCTTACTTGTATATGTACTTTAAATCAACCCATAAAAGATTGAAATATTTAAAGTCCTGTGACTGCATTCACATCCACTCTTAGTGTAGAGTCGCGTGTTTGACGCCAGAAAATGTAAACGTCACACAGGAAGAAATATAAAATAATTTTGTTGTTCAAAGTATTTTCAAAATTATAATTTCACATGGGAAATGGTGGTATACAGGGTTAAACAATCAAAAGGAAATGTATAGCCCTAATGGGTTGATTGGGATAAAAAAAGACGTGGGCACTTGCTCTTCTTACTCCTGTAATCAATATTCAAAGAGTAACTTCCGTTTTCCTGTATTGGACAAATACGCAGCCACGTCCAATCAGAATGAGGACGTTCGCTCCGCTGTTTCACGTATAAGTACGAAGACTGCCATAATATCTGCGAAATAATGGAATTTAGCAACATTTTAATGGATATTTTGATTGTTGCAGAGCTTAATTTGTTTCCACATCTAACATGTCTAAGGATCATCCTTTATAAGTAAGAGTTTACATAACTTTGAACTGTTCTGACAAAGAAAGATTGTATTCCCTAGGAATAGATCACTAAGCTGTTTTTGGAATTTTTTTTCGAATTTGTACATGTTGTAGGTCCTAAATCATCTTCAACTTCGTACTTACGTAGGTCTATTTACGTTTTGGATTCGAGCGTCGCGGATGAATCTTTTGCAGACAAAAGGCTGGTCTGGCGTACAAAATTTACAATATAATCAATCTATTTTTGTTATGAACATAAATTCATAACATGTTAGTCCTCCTCCTCCACCTCCTCCTCATCATCATATAGTTTCTATTTCTTGTTCAAATATTCATTACAATTTTAGAATGCAATCCTGGATATTTTGGAAGAAATTGTATTCAGACTTGTGAAGGGTGCATATCTGAGCTATGTGACCGTTTTTATGGCACCTGTAATGTAACAGACAAATGTAAACCAGGTTATAAACACGATCCAAACTGTAGTCAGTGTATGTATTTGAAAAAAACGAATTTTGTTTTGAGACTTGATCAAGAACATGTCTGTGAAGCTTTATATCAATATTTTTTTTTTAATTTATATGTATCAATATCAAATAATTTATCGTCGACGAAATAATCGCACGCTGATTTGAAAGATGCAGTTTGATACATAATTCAAAAGCTCTTGAATTCAGTAACCTCTTGTAAAATTAAAATCTGCCGATGTCTGGTTTTTGTCTAGAAGTAATAATAATAATAACATTTTTTAAACTTTCTCTTTACATGTTAATATGAATGCAGTTTGTTTACTCGGAATTGAAGAATTGACCAATTTTACATCATAACTTTTCTGTTAATACAACACAATACGTTTAAGAATGTAATTGTGTTTTTTTTCGTTGCCAAATTTCAATATATTTTTAGCATGTGATAACAGTTACTATGGTTATAACTGTACAGAAAAATGTAATTGTCTTTCTGAATCTGAACCTTGTGACAAATCTACTGGAATGTGTCCAGACGGGAAATGTAACAAAGGATGGTCGGGAAATTCTTGTAATGAAGGTTTGTAAAGGAAAGTAATATCTATATATATATATATAAGTGCCTATAAATAGCAGCACATGACATACAAATCTATGGGAGTGTGGATTAATCAGTACAGAGATTAATTCAATTACACAAATAAAATTATAGATTGCCTAACAATGTAATTTTAACACACTATTTAGTATGTAAATATAAGAATGTTTAAAATATTTACAAAATGATGAAAATAAACGCAATATTTCGCTAGACTAACTAGCTTTATCAAGCGTGCATCTATCCAGGTGAAATCGGATGTAGATGATAAGAAACTTTTGCAGCTCAATGTATATGTTGCACTTGAATTTAGCTGCCTTGAAAATAATACATAATTTGGATGAAGTTCAAGATTTTTACAAAATTGGTAGTTGAAGTTAGCAACGTCCATTGGCCAATATTACAGGATAAAAAGGACGATGCTGTGTACTAAATTATTCTTTATCTTTCCTGTATCTTTTCTCATCTTTTTCGTTAAGACCACCAGGTTCTAAAGTGTGGAGTTGGTGGATCCAAAAAATTTCTCTTCTCCTTCTCGCCGTGGTGTCCCACTCGGTGTTGACTTCTATGATTTGGAAGGTAACATTATCAAAAGCATGTTTCGTTGAACGAAGATGTCTTGTGAGAGGACAGTTTTTGTTGGTTTTGTACCATGAACGATGGTTATTGAGCCGAATATTAAATTTGTCCATTGTTTCTCCCACATACTGAATGCCACATGTTTCACATGTTAATATATAAATTGAGTTATCCGTTTTACAGTTGGAATTTGAGTAGATGGTATAATTTTGTTTAGTAACGGAGCTGATGAAAGAACTGCTAACAAATTTAATATTCGGCTCAATAACCATCGTTCATGGTACAAAACCACGAAAACTGTCATCTCACAAGACATCTTCGTTCAACGAAACATGCTTTTGATAATGTTACCTTCCAAATCATAGAAGTCAACACCGAGTGGGACACCACGGCGAGAAGGAGAAGAGAAATTTTTTGGATCCACCAACTCCACACTTTAGAACCTGGTGGTCTTAACGAAAAAGATGAGAAAAGATACAGGAAAGATAAAGAATAATTTAGTACACAGCATCGTCCTTTTTATCCTGTAATATTGGCCAATGGACGTTGCTAACTTCAACTACCAATTTTGTAAAAATCTTGAACTTCATCCAAATTATGTATTATTTTCAAGGCAGCTAAATTCAAGTGCAACATATACATTGAGCTGCAAAAGTTTCTTATCATCTACATCCGATTTCACCTGGATAGATGCACGCTTGATAAAGCTAGTTAGTCTAGCGAAATATTGCGTTTATTTTCATCATTTTGTAAATATTTTAAACATTCTTATATTTACATACTAAATAGTGTGTTAAAATTACATTGTTAGGCAATCTATATATATATATATATATATATAAATATATTAATGAAGATAAAAATAGAAAACGAGTTAAACATTGTCAATTGTTTACCAGCTTTCATCCATCTGAAGGGACTTTTCAAAACTAAGACGTTGTTGTTGGTAACATTTGTCGTTATCGTTGTTGAGGTAGTTTTATGACGTTATGTAATTGTCGACGTTTTGCTTTTTGTAACGTCGGCTTAAAATGTTAATAAAATATTCTTCCATCTTTTTCCGGAATGCATCACCTGTTCAATTGCAATTATAGACAGGTAATATTTTAAATTTTCCTTCTCCACATCGATCCAAGTGTTCACTTAATGGAATGTTCCAATATTGTGGATGTTTCATTTGTTCATTTTGTATATACGTAGCCGTTCGCAAAGATTGTTTCCGATATGTCCTATATATATTGTTTGGCAATTCACACAATAAATCAAATAATAATAAGTTATGCAATTAATCACATTGGATGACTTGCATATCATATTTGAATCTATATACATGTAGAAGGTTTTTCCCATTTAGGAAACATTTCAAATTGCCGGTCTCTAAATAATTGTATCCTTTTGAGCAGATACCACATCTAGTACCCCAACACTATTTTACTGAATATTTATCCTGAATTGAGTCGAATTTGGTTCGTGTCAAGTGTTTTTGCTAGGTTACCGGCGATTGGATATTAAGTTTTCCTTTTGAGCTAGTTGTTTCATTATCTCGCTTAAGTGTAGAAACGGGATATTTGATCGCATGAAACTAAATACGTTCGGTAATTTAAGGTCGTTTGTGCATACGAGTGGAATCGTTTTATTTTCCGTTGTGTTGTTTTTCCATCGGGGTTCTAAGTTCTGTACTGACACAGGTTTTGCCTTTTTTATGCCATCATCAATTAATGGTGTTGGGTTTCACTGTTAAGTCAGGTATATTTGATATATAAGCTTTCATCTATTACTTCGAATTCTCGATCATCAATTTAAGCATTTAGATTTGAACTTTATGCGAAAGCTAATAGATATTATTTTGCCAAACATCATTTGCTTAGACATAATGTTTAGTGAATAGACATTGAACATTTTACACAATACTTATACATCATAAATATATCATAAATATATTAAAAGAAAGAAGCTTTAATTGCAACGTATCGTCTTCGTTTCCTTAAAAGGTCTTTAATTATGAAACAAAGGGCACGATAACTACGGGAAGCATAATGACGAGGTCCATAACTTTATATTTGAAATTTGTATCAGTGAACATTCAACCACATAAACAGTAATGGTAGAAAATGAAATGACAAAACTAACTAATAAATATACGGGGAATTCGGACAGATGTTTGTGTTTAGTTTTCAATACTTTTGTATTTCAGAACGACTTTTTTTAATACTTTAGATTATATGTATTGTTCACTTTTAAGTTAAATTAAAGCCATATACCGTTTTTTTCTTTCTATTGTAGAATGTAGCGAAGGATATTATGGGGTTAATTGTTTTGGTTATTGTAACAACTGCTTAAACACGTCCTGTGAAATATATGAGGGGAATTGTACTTATGGTTGTAGTTTTGAATTTAGTGGTTCTCAGTGCAAGAAAGCAGGTAATTTTAGGAGTTTTGTTTTTAAAATTGATATAACATAGATGGTAGAAAGAAGAAGGATTTATAAACAGCAAATTTGTAAACAGCACTGTAAACAAACTATAAAAAAACTTAATATACATGTATTGCTGTACCAGTTTCAGAAAAAATTAATACCTGGAATCAGTATCATTTTATATATTTGAGTTCGATAAAGATGATGGATGCATTATAATCAATAATTTATATTCCATTTTAGACTTTCAGTCTTTAGAAGCACGAGGACTTGTTACAGCCATCATAGGAGGCGTTTGTGCTGCAGTATTTGTCGTAATTCTTGCAATTATTCTGTGTATCGTTTACAGGTACTCAATTGTTTCTGTTTTTCCAAAGAGAATTATCATTCTTCTGATTTAAAGGGCTTATAGATTGTCATAAACAATAAATTTCCCCATAGGCGACAATGATAGCCTTTTTCGAGATCCAGACTTTAGAAAGTTGATTTTTTTAACAAAACCTTGCTAGAATTAAAGAAAAGTTATTCGGAAAGTAATTTTTGGTCCAAAAAATAGGTTCGCGTTGCTTTTCTAAACGTAAATTGTACTTAACTCCCTTGCCTATCAATTTTGCACTTAAAAACACGTGTCTCATCCTAGCCTTGAAAAGACATCTCAGTTCCGTTAGGACTAAGGCAAATAATTTATTTTACCTTTGGTATAATGCAGAGTTCACGAAGTCTCTTATAATAAAAAAATAACGGGCGCACATATCGACCAATCAGGATTAGCCATGCTTTTAATTCTGATTACCATGTCATTTTCATAAAATGGCTGCGCCCATAAAATCTAATGGTTTATTGTAACCTTTATAACTTAATATTTAATTAGAATTTACAGCAATATTGGAGTATAGAATTATTCCTTTTGGTGTAACCCAAAACTCATATTTGTAGTGTTATCTGGACCTTTTTCCAATTCCCATCTCTTGTTTCTTACATAGAAATATTGGAAAACGGTCTATCCAGATTAATATCAAACATGTTTTATAAAACAAAATAACAGACATATAGTTAAATACGCCAATGTGCGTTTTGTCTATATAAGACTCATCTGTTGCGACCAAATCAATGTACATTTAAGGCGCACTGAAATTTCACATTTCAAATAATAAAAAGATTGGCTAGCAGGAACTCTTAATGGTTCGGATGATTTTAACATTTAATAAACATACCATTTATACAAAAATACTACATTATTGATATTTCATGTCAATACAAGAGTATATATGTAAGACTTTAAAATGCGATGATACTCTAAAGTGCAATGGTCACGCTAAAATGCGATGGTCTACGCTAAAGTGCGATGGTGTCAAACGCTTAAGTGCGATGGTTGTTTTTTACGTGCACTTATATGACACGCTAAAGTGCAATGGTATAACACGCTCAACTCCGATGGCGTAACGGAAATGGGGATAAGGGAATGTTTTATTGTTTTTTTTGCTAAGTTCCTATTAATAGTAGTTTTTCGTTTATTTTTTTGTTAACAAATCATGTCGTTGTCTTTCTCTTTTGAAATGCTTTACACAGGTCATTATGTGGCCCTATATAACTTGCTATGCGGCGTGGGCCAAGAATCCACTTTGTACGCCGTACGGTTATTAGCGGCAAACACCAACGACATTTTATACCACATCTGGTAGCTACTATATATCTTATGAACCTGTTTCAAGTCAGGAACCTGTAATTCAGTGGTAGTTGCTTGTTGCTGTATATGTTTTTCGTTTATTGTTTTGTATATAAATCGGGCCGTTAATTTTCTCGTTTGAATTGTATTACACTGTTCGCTATAAAGCGCCTTTGTAAACACAAATTAGTCAAATCGAGTTAACCTCTTCCAGCACAAACGGTTTGTAATGTCACAATGCTGTTAAACGTTTCCAACTTCCTTACTTTCGCGGAAAAACGCACTTTAACGTATTGATGCATCGGACTTAAGCCTGTTCCAGTGAATAGCACAGACCAACGCACTTTAGCGTACAATACCATCGCACTTAAACGTAGACCATCGCACTTTAGCGTACATTACCATCGCACTTAAGCGTAGACCATCGCACTTTAGCCTCCCCATCGTCCTACATATATTCAACATGTTCAATGCAATCACATTTTTTTCGTGTATTTCAGAAGGTTCTGCAGATCACAAAAGCAAAGAAATCATTCATACATCGACGAAAGTAAGTATGTGATCAAATATTGTGTACATAAAGTTTATACTTTGTGTGTATTTTTGCGGGTTGGTTTACAATAATTGGTTTTTGAATGTTTTTTTCTAAGGATGCAAAAAACCCAAATAAATGCTTTGTCGGTTGAAGCACTTTTTCAAATGAATAAAAACTGGCCAAAAAATAAACGGTACAAATTTTACTGAACCAGATGTGCATTTTGGAAAAAAAAGCCAATTTGGTGATACTGGAGGCCAAATTATTGGAAAATCCAAATTTATTCTCCAGAATTGAAGGGCTAAAAAAACAAAAAGATCAAAAGTATAGCCAAAGCCGGGCAATAAATAAGAGCTACAGGTGAAAAAAAACCAAATAACTAGATGGTATAAAAATGCTAAATGACAAAAAAGCATGAGCAGTTCGAACCCGTCACATACAAGGCATGAAGCTGTCGTGTTCTACATTACAAGTAGAACAATTTGAAAATATTCATGCATAAGGTAAGCTTTTGCATAGATATAATAAAAGGACGACCTCTAAAACAAGACAAAGACGCTAGCAGAATAACAGTACCATGCCAAAATATTAACTAACAAAATAGTGTTAAAAAGGTAATTATAATAAAACGTTTTTAAACATGTATTGATGATGGTCTGTTTTCAAACTGTCTCTAATTTTCCCCTTAGTTATAGATATAATTAATTTTCAATTTCAGATAACAAGATTAGTTCATCTTTAACTAATCAATGTGTAATGTATGAAAATGTGACAGGCAACTTTACAAGTTCAGAAAATATACGACTATCATTTACAGAAAAGCACGATAGAAAAATCAATATATGTGAAATAAGTTCCTATGATTTACCAGATACAGAGGAAGATGAAGAGGAGAACGTGAATGTATATGGTAATGTGATATCGGATGATGATATATGTCAGTTCAAAATTCGAATTGAGGACCTGGCGAATGTGATAATTGAAAAACGTCACAACAAAGGATTTGAAAAGGAATATATGGTTTGTAAAACACATACTATTTAAATCTATTCACGACTATGCATTGCGCAGTATATAAATAATCAATTTGTCAAAATAGTGTTTATCTTCCAAATATATATATTCTGTTTAAAAAATGCTTCATATGTTAAGAGAAACTAACTTTATTTATTTTAAGTAATTTTTCTACTGTAAATATTTGGCTCAAATTTTCCAAACATTTGGTTTTTAATGCTCTTTAACTTCGTATTTGATTTTGCTGTCTCGCCGTTTTGGATTCTAGTGTCATTGAGTAGTCTTATATAGACACGCGCGTCCAACATACCAAATATAAAGCCTGGTACCTTCCTGAAATTATTAGTCCTTAAAACGGTTGATCCTATGAAATAACTGTTACATTTATTACATGTACATAAGGTGATGTTTCTTTATTATCAATGAGACATGCATCTGCAAGATATCAAAAGTATTTTAATACAAATCTAAAGAAAAAAAAATTGTTACAGGTAGTTGACTTATTATTTATTATAGCAGTAAAGCATGCTTAACTAACAATCAAAACAAGCGATATTGTACAAAACAGAAAACTAAAAACTAGCAACACAAATTCTTTTCAATGAGGACATCGAATTTTCACACCTACACAGACCTCCCCTTTTCAGAAGGGATGTAACTGAAGTCGAAGGTTGTCCAGGTAGTCATATTTTTAAACCAACTTTGTCTTTCTTGTCTATTGTTCTTTGAAAGTTAGGTTAAGTAGTATGTATCTTTAGAATATGATGATATTGTGATATTGCAAAAGAAAAGCGTTTAGGGTAAAGATCTATGACTATTTAATACGTCAAACGATGAATTAAATGTTTTACAGATGTTCCCGAAAGGTCTTATTCATGCTCATAATGAAGGATCAAAAGAAGAGAATAAGACTAAAAATAGATTTCTGACTACATGGCCATGTAAGAGATAAAAATACTTCAATGTATATATATATATAGCGTAAGAAGTAAAATAACAATAATATCGAACTCCAAGAAAAATTCAAAACGGAATGTCCCTTATCAAACATGTCAAATGGCAAAATCGAAAGCTCAAACACATCAAACGAATGGAAAACAACTGTCATATTCCTGACTTGGTACAGGCATTTCCTCATGCAGAAAATGTGGATTGAACCTGGTTTTATAGCAAGCTAAACCTCTCACTTGTATGACAGTCGCATAAAGTTCCTTTATATTGACAACAATGTGTGAGGTGCATGTTCCTATTAACAGTAATCTAAATATTGTGCACAAAACAAATTTAACAAACATTAGTGATATCAGTTGTGATACTTTGGGAAAATGAAGATATACTGAGAAAGTTTTAACATTGAACACACCAATTTAATGAATCTCATGGACTAATTTCATAAATTTGTTGATGAATTATTTTGTTACCGTGAAAGACAGTTAAATCAAGACAAGCAACAGATAAAACATGTAATTATACTACAAAATAAATGAGTATCAACACCACAGAAAACCATATTTCCTTTACAGATGATCACTCCAGAGTGGTGTTGAAAGGAGACACACAATATGATTACATAAATGCAAATTACATCGATGTAAGTTCTTATTGTTATTTGAATGCATTTGTATTATCTATAAACACAATATTTGTTTTTTTAAACGCAGAATTATGTTATGGAATGTAGAAAAGGAAATTGTACATATATGTATATAACCAACTACTAAAATTTTTAATCAGTTATGACATCTATACAGTCATTTAACCCTTGTGTTGACCATTATTTATAGTTTGGATGAACTATATTCATGATATTAGAGACAACAGATCGTAAATGCTGAAATAACTTAATTATCAACGATATATGAGGATCATATATATTTTGTCTTTCAATATAAATTTCGATGCTGATCATTTACTTCGATATGTATACCCCTATTAATTCGTTTTGAAAGGTTGTATAGTATGCTATTGTATAACATCAGTAAATTTATTTAATATTGTTTAATTACAGAGCTATCATAAAGAAAAGGCATACATAGCTACACAAGGTTTGTTTATACTATCAGAGAATATCCAAACTGTTGTCGTATTTTGGTTTTAAACTAATTATTCCTGATCTTTCAGCATTTATACAAATGGATTATTAGTACGTATGGGTTTTATTTGACAACATCGTATTATATGGTTGCAGAGTTAAAACAACAAATTTTGTCAATTTCATTGGTGAATATAAAGCAAAAAAGTCTCCATAAAACAGTATTGCGTCAACCGTATCATCTTCATAAAAATACCGTAAAAGAGACATCTAAGTTGCAAATAATTTGATTAACATCATATATTCGCGCGCGTTATTGCTATTTTTTAAATCACGCGCTTTTGTTATAACGTATGATCAAGTAAATACATTTGAAAAGAAAGTAATGAATTGCATGCAATGTCGTGCAACGTAAACTGCCATTTGTAAACATTAAGAGACACATTCCCATATTATGTTTTGTGGACTTCAGGTCCAAAGAGAAGTACTGTGAGAGATTTTTGGCATATGGTTTGGCAGGAGAACGTCTTCAAAATAGTGATGGTCACTCAACTGCAGGAAAATAGAAAAGTATTTGATATTATTCAAATAATGTTAAATATTGAAGAAAAAACGTACATTCATAGGACTAAAAACGACATTTGCTGTATTGTTTGTTTAAAATCAGTTCTTTTATACTGTACGACGGATAAAACATATTTGAAAAAAAAAACCCATTATTATCAATGCGATATAGTATTGTGTAAGCATTTTTTATAAGATACAATGTAAGTTGCCCTTCCAGAATCAAACTGCATGTGTAAGCATTGCAAACCGCTCGATATGCCGATTGCAATTACCATTGTTACAAACAGCGTCAACATTTTTAAAAGCAATCAAAGCAAGTGTTATGATCCGTAAATGAGTTGTGTAATAGTTCCACCATACGTTTGAATTTTTTGTTGTTTTTTTTTGGTATCGGCTGTTTATAAAAATTAAAACGATGTCCAGAGTTTCTACGACTAGGACATCTATATCAATCTTTATGTGTTGCTTTTAACACATTTTGTAATAGTTTAGTTATATAACTATTACGATGCCAAAACAAAACTGTTTAATGACTTGTTAAACAGCAAGGTCAATTTTAAAAACGTTAAACATAATAATGTTAAACATGCTGTACAGTTTTTAAGACACTCGTCTTTGTCGGTAGCCAAAAACATGAAATTCTTTTCTTAATATAAATGGTTTTAATTTTTTGGGGTGGCGGCTGTCTAACCAACGTTTATATATCTTTTTTGTTTGAGTTATTTGTTTAATCTATATTTAGAACAAAAGAAATAATTATTCAATAATATATAACTGTACCGTTGTAGAAAAAATGTGACCAGTATTGGCCACAGACAACCAACAACCCGTTAATAGTAGACTGCTATACCTTGACCATGCAAGTAGAAAAAGAACGCTCCGAATATGTTTACAGGCTGATTAAAGTTGGACACAAAATGGTAATTAGCATCTTAATGTTGATTAGTTTCCTTAAAACAATGTCACTTTAAACTGATGACAACACTGATGATACAAACAACGTTGCTTATACAGACGGTTATTGTCTAAAATAATAATCTTAAACACACGTATATTTAACGCAACAACTAACTTACGTTATAATCAGAGGGAATATAAAATAGAGGATCTGAGAATCAGTATTTAAACAAAAATATATGAAATTTATAAACAACTGTTTTAATGACCAAGTTTGGTAATGAATCCCGACATTTTGGCTAAAACAAGACATCAATCAGCACTCTCGTCATGTTAAAGTAAAAGGTCTACAGAGTTTATTGTCGCTCGAAATTCAATGAGAATATTTTAAACGACGTCTTGTTTTGAAAAAAAACCAACTAATATATCTATTCAATTATTTTATGGTATTTATTTTTTTTTAATCATAGTATTGATTTTTTGCAGGCAAAGGAACAACGAAAGGTTCACCATTATCATTTTACTCAATGGCCTGATCACGGTGTTCCAGACAGTATAAAGCTGGTGAATTTCTATAGGGCAGTCAAAAATAATACCAGTGACCAGCATGGACCACTTTTGGTACATTGCAGGTATATTTGTTTCGTCAAGAATGACTTTATACAACTTCAATACAAGTGTGAGGTTAAGCCAGTTATTAAAATAAAACTAGGTTTAAACCACCATTTTCCTCGGAAAATTCCTGTACCAAGTCAGGTATATGACGGTTGTTTTTCATTCCATACATTGATTGATATAGTCATTCTTGTCAGGTTAAATGGACTTCTGCATTTTTAAAATTTAACTTGCAGTTCGGTATTTTTTGTTAAATCGATTTTTATAATAGTATGGAAATTGGTCATGCATAACATTTGCAAATCCTATTTTCAATACATAAAGACGTCGTTAATCGTACACCATGTTTTGGAAGGCTAATAAATATGTATGATAAATGTATCAAAATTAGTAAATTAAAAAACTGACAGAAAAAAAAACTGATAAGAATTTCTGACAATCGTTAATAGTATAGTTTTGTTAGACAATAACATGTCATAAGATCCATGAAAAATTAAATAGATTGAAAGGTCGGGGCCTTTTATGCGGTATGGGCTTTTCTCATGTTAAAGGTCGTACGGTTGCCTATAATTGCTAACATCAGATTCATTAAAATTTTGGTATAGTTGTCTCATTAGCTATCACACCACATCTCCTTATCGTTATATTGATGCCAAAGGATCATTCTAAAAAGATTCTAAAATGCGTCAAATAACCTTAAAGAACATGTGATGTAATTGTATAACGATACTAATAGGAGACGCTCTGTTGGTATTTCCATTGAATCATGGCTGGAATGTGATTTTTGAAAGACCGTCTTCTATTCTACACCACTTTAGCAGTTAACACGGCCTTTTGTGGAAGAGCATTATATTTATCTTCAAATGAAAACCAAAGTCAGCCGTGAGGTAGGTAATATCTTATACTCTGAGTCGATCTTATGTTTTAGCGACAGTCTTTATTTATTAAATCAACATTATCAATAGTTTTTAACATCTTTTTATTTTAGTGCTGGCATCGGCAGAACGGGAACATTTATTGCTATTGATTCTTTATACGAGCATGGAAAATCAGTTGGTTATGTCAATATCTTTGAATATGTGAAGATTATGCGGAGGGACAGACTGAACATGATTCAAACATTTGTAAGTATAAGATACTATATAAGTTAACAATCAAAATGCAGCTCCTTTTTTCGTATTTATTTTTGCTATTGTGTAGTTGTTAATTGGTTAATTACTTTGTTGAAAAACTTCTACATAACAATAATGATCTTGTTTGTCTCTCTTACAAATTGCAATCATGAAATCAGTTATGGTATTTGTGTTCGCAGTACTTTTGTGGGTGTCTTTGAAAAAGAGTGGTGCTTTAAAAACTCCGAGAACAAGTGATCAATGGTCGAGATACTACAAAATATAGTCAAATAATGAACAAAATATGTTTTTGAATCCTTTTGATATAAAAAAAATCATACAAAGGATAAACATTTTGGAAATGATACATTTTGTTATTTACGTGAACAACAGCTCAGTTAACGACCCATTCGTTCGAACACGTCAACAACAGCTCAGTTATGGGTCGTTCGAACACGTCATCCAACGTTCATAGTTGTGGACAACGATAAATTGACAACGATAAATTGCTGTTATATCTCATATGCTAGATTTGTAAAGGTAAAAACATATCTACTTTACATAGAATCATTCATGCAACGATTATCCTTGTCCAGAAGTAAAAGGTACGGTCATCTATCTCAATAGCATCTATTCAATATTACCATGACAGTAAGCACAACAGGAACATTTGAAAACTATGATCACAACCTCGACCTGCATTAAATGTATACATTATTGATGAATAATACACGTTATTTGACCATGTTGACCTTCTAGTTTTTTTTATAATCGTAATATTTTCCAGAACTTAGCATTGTCCAAATCACAAGGGAAAATAAATCCGAAATGCAACAAGAGAATATTTGAATACAAATTTATATCTTTATATCCAAATTTGTCCAAATCGTTTTTATGCCCCACCTACGATAGTAGTAGGGGCATTATGTTTTCTGGTCTGTCCGTCCATCCGTCTGTGTCGCTTCAGGTTAAATTTTTTGGTCAAGGTAGTTTTTGATGAAGTTGAAGTCCAATCAACTTGAAACTTAGTACACAGGTTTCCTATGATATGATCTTTCTAATTGTAATGCCAAATTAGAGTTTTTACCCCAATTTCACGGTCCACTGAACATAGAAAATGATAGTGCGAGTGGGGCATCCGTGTACTATGGACACATTCTTCATATTCAAGATTTCGTCATTGATGTATGAACGGTTTTTATTTTTTTGTATTGATGTGCACTAATTTTAAAGAACTATTTGTTATATAATCTATTTGGTATATCTTTCCTTTATGGATTCAGGTCGGAGGTAATTGTAAATTAAATAATCGAATTGTCCGATGTAAACATCCAATTTAAAATTAAACTTCACTGCATTTACAATATTTGTTTATCACTATATATATAGCTACACGACGTTTAAAATATTTTTATCAAAGATAATGCATAATACTTATAGTTCAATACTTGTAGGAACAATATGAGGCTGTGTTTGAAGCATTGCAAGAATTGTTCATCGTGCCAGACACATCTATTCCCGTGAAAGATTTCTGTAAATATGTTGAGGAACAGGAAAATAAGACAATTCCACAAAACCAAAAGGTGTACAGATTAGAGTTTCAGGTACTGAAAATATTCTCATGCAGTCAATCACCCAAAAATATAAGTCACCGATCATAAAGAAGAGCATTTCGAGTTTCGTCAGTAAATTCAGTGTTTTATTTCATAATGGTGTTCGTTATTTTGGTTGTAATAACATATATTTTTCATGTTTGGGAAAGTACCATTTTAAAGGAGATGCGGAGTATACAACTTCCGTAACAATCATAAAATATCAATATATAATGAGAAAAGAAACAATTAAAAAATTCACACATTTTGCTCATGTTACACAAATTAACTCAATCTTCGAAAATTTTATGATCATTTTCAATCTAACGCCCAATAAGGTTTAGTTTTCACTAATACAGAAATGCACAGAAAACTAAATATTGAAAACCCTTTTTTTATTCTAAATTCCATGTGTTTTCCTTTCCGTTCAACTTGAATTCAATTTTCATCAAGTCTATATTGTCCTTCGAAAAACCATAAAATCATTTTGTCACAGGTTATATAAAACAAATTGATTGAAAAAAAAACGTAATCGGGCAAAATGGTCTCATGGAGAGGACCAATCAGGACTCAGGATTCAAGTAGGAGATTCATATACAGATAGCTAGAGCCTACAATTATATTTTTTAACAAATTAAAGTCTTTATATGTTGCTCTCTGAAACATTAGAAACTTCAATACAAATTCTTGAGTACAAAATTATGGTATTTTATAAACAAAAAATATTTCTGAAAGTTTCATTGAAAATATTTGATTTAAGATAACGTTAATTAAAAAAAAAAACGAAACGTACAATAGAACTAAACAAGGAACGAAAAATTACAAAATACCAAACTCCAAGTAATCGAAAAGGGGAAAGACCGTAAAAGGTGACAAATAAACTCGAATTATCTATACAATCCTCTTAATCAAACAAGGCAATATAAAGGTTAAAACAAGACAACAGTAGAAATAAAGGTGAATTGTCCTCATTTTCAACGAAGGTTTGTAAAATATAGTGATGTGTATGGTAAGTAGTAGTGATAATGTATTGCAAAATCTTAATTCTGTGTAAGTGATTATAACGACTAAGATGCCCTACGACACAAGCAACTGTCAGATACTCTTAACAAATCATGAGGTTGAAATATATAGTTATAGCAGCTAACAGATAATCTGTTATATATGCATATTTAACATGTTTAAGCTTAAGAACTATTTTGTGTGCATATTTATGTTTCACATATGATATCTGTTTATATTAAAACATGTAAATGATGCAGCATACTAATTCTTTGTTAATAGAGGTTGCAAAGTCTTCGTCTGTCACACTCTACTGACAAATATACATCTGCAAGATTAAAGGAGAACATTTCGAAGAATGCAGTAAAAGATATCTTACCAAGTGAGTGAATGGTATATTCATTATTTCATTTTGTATAATGAATACGTGTATATTTGTATGTTTCTTACGTAAAAAGAAACCACAACTATTCAGTCAAGTAAGATGCAATTGAGTTTAAAAAAGATAAATATGCAATTTACACAGGTAGCACGAAAGAATTCGACACGAAAGCTAGGAAATTATTACGCATTTAAATTTTAAGTTAATAAAACATCAATACACATATTTTACTAGCTTGACGCTACGTTGTTAGTAAACGAAATCACATGTTATACTTGTTAATCTATAAGTTCAAAAGTTATAACAACAAAGTGTTTTGGTGGTACGAGTAATTCACATTCTTATTTGGACGGTTTTAATTTGTTATACATGTATATGCTATATTACAAAAAGCAAATAATACGGTGCGATTGCAGTACTTGTTACGATTAATGTACTTTAACTGCTGTTATTATAACTTTTGACAAACGAAGGAAAACATAAAGGTCGCGACCAGAATTTGATTAGCCGACTTTACCAATGCCTTTTAAATTTGGTACAGTTGCTGTTATTTTACATTTACGACTAGCAGTAATAAATTGAGAAACATTTACCATTCCATCCCTGTTTAAAAATTGTATTATTTAAGTTGGTCCACATCAGGAATTGAATGACATTAGGTCGCTCGGTCGCAAGGAACGAGCTGTTAACCAATCTATTAGTCAAGAACATGATTATTTCTTAAGTGCTGAGTATTTAATATAAGTACACGGTGTTCTGACTGTCAAAGGATGATTACTTTGCATATGAGTATTTGTGAAAGACTTTTCGCCCATTTTATTGTTGATATAAAAACGATACCAATTGAATTTAAAAGACTTCAATAACGACATTTAAAGCCGCCTCATCTGGAAAAACGACATATAATGTAGACGGAATGTCTTGTTGAGACAAAAAATCAAGAATATTAGTCAAGCTATGTTATTATGTGGCGTTATGTTTCAACGAAAAAGCATTTCAATAAATTGAAGTAAAATCGTAAATTGTTTAGGCATTTATTTGTTTCCGTATAATTTTTGTTTTTTTTTTGCATTGTAGATGATAACTACAGGCCATGCCTGATGTCTGTTGGAAAGCACAAAAACGATTACATAAATGCAGTAATAATACCAGTAAGTGCATGAGGATTAGTATGTACTTATCTTGAAATATTTGTTTTGGCCAAAAAACAATGCAAGTTCCGTTTTAATGGTTTATTCGAAGGATGAGTAGTGTGACTCATTAGATGACCACTTTCTCTCTTTTCGATCTCTAATCATGAAGAAATTGTTATGCCCCGGCAACTCAAAGTTGGGGGGTATATTGTTTTACCCCTGTCCGTCCGTCTTTCCGTCTGTCCTACCGTCCGTCTCATTATGGGTAAATAGTTATTCCAGATAACTCCTCCTACAGTTTGAATGCTAGGAAGTTTTCACTTTGCTGGCTGTTTGTACATATATTGAAGGTGTGCATGTGGTCAGGGTTTTGATTTTGATTAATATAAATTTTGCTCTTTTAGGAGATAGTTAAACTTTGTCAGTTTTTGGCGTGTTTACTTGCATAAGAGGTGAATAGCGTTTCCAGATAACTACTCGTCCATTTGATTGCTAGGAAGTTTTATTTTTGCTGGCTGTTTGTGCATATATTCAAGATGTGCATGTGGTCAGGGTTTTTTTTTTATAAGTAGTTGCTCTATTGGAAGATAGTTGAACTATGTCATTTTGTGGAGTATTTACTTGCATAAGAGGTGCATGTGGATCCAGATAACTCCTCCTACATTTTGAACGCTAGGAAGTTTTTACTTTGCTGGCTGTTTGTACATATGGAAGGTGCGCACTAGGTCAGGGTTTTGGTTTTTATTGATATTTACTCTTTTTGGAGATAGTTGCACTTTGTCATTTTTGGAGTAAATACTTGAATTAGAGGTGCATAACGTTTCCGGATAACTCCTCCTACAGTGAACCAGTGAACCATTGAACTTTGTGCTCCCATGCTCAACTTAGTGTGTTTTAAAATAACACTTTGCATTTGCGGGGGCATCATATGTGTTTCCCAGTTACAATAATATCTCAAAGAAAGTCCAACATTGACTTTGTTATAATACAGTTATACTTCAGAGTGAAGTGCGGAGGCATCACTTTGTCTAGTTCTCATTGTAAATTAACGTTTTTTCCGTAGTGTTGTTTTTCTTTAATATATAAAAAATTTGTTATAAACTTTACAAAAAATATTGCAAAAACCTTTTTAAGTAAAACATTGTTTTCAAATACGTTGTTGAGCGTCTTCCTTTAACATGTTTAAAATAAATAGTGTATATACAGACAATGTTTTGTAGCATATAAACGCTTAAATTCTTTTTTGGAAAATCATTTGACATTGCATCAATTACGGCCATATTATTTCCGTCAAGCATATATTAGTACAAATACAGCAATCTTATTTTTTTTAGGGATACTCATCACATGGACGCTTTTTGGTAACCCAATGTCCATTAAAAGAAACTGTGGTTGATTTCTGGACAATGGTGTATGATCATGACTCCAGTATTGTTGTTTTATTAGATTCACCAAATGAAGTGAGCCAATTATAAACTATCTTTATTGTTTTTAGATTAAGTGCCAAAAAAAAAAAAACCAAAATGTTAATGGCATGAAAGTTAACATATGATTAATATTTAATCTGGTTATATTTACATTTAAAATATAATCGGCAGGAGTATTCGAAAAGTTATAAACATTTCAATTGGTCTGAATTCTATTTACGATAAGAATTTCTGAATTTTCTGAAAATATCTCATGATCGAAGGATAAATGTATCAAATAACGTGAAATGAGATAATGTCGCTAATACATGCGCTCGTCTACATACCATAACTGACACACAAAGCGTTTCAGTATTCTAAATAAACTTGGAACATTTTGACGAACATATTTTTCATCACGTTAAACAACTGTATCATATATTGTCCAAAAATGCATGCAAACAAAGAATATCCACATGGTAAATTTATGTCATTATTAAGTCTATGTGGTTTAAGAATATCAGAAACATTTATGTTTAGGCTAAAACAGCTTAAAATGTTTTGTCATTTGGAGGAATTGGTGTTGGAAACAAATATTTGATGAAGCGCATTTTCAACGTTTTCAATATTCAAGAGAGAATCTAGACTTATTTTTAAAATACGATGAACACTACTTGTGTTAAATGACTTATATTTACCTCTATATTTCTCTGATTTGTGTCGTTGACATTCTTGCATTAATTACGTATGGCAAATTCTGCATTTAGTGTATACAGAAATTGTATGGAATTAAGTTTGTTTCAACTCCATATAGCTGAACAGATTATTTTCCAAGTTTTTCAGAACAAACGATAAAATGAAGTATAATACACGTTTAATTTTACTAATTGCTTCATTGACAAAGAAAACTATTGTGCATGTAATATATTATCAATGCATTAACTAATATGTATATATGTATGTATTGTTGAATGTACTCATTTAAAAGTTCCATAGTTGAACCATCATTTAAAAGTTCCACAGTTGAACTATCATTTAAAAGTTCCACAGTTGAACCACGTTAAGCAATACAGAAAAATTTAACTCACACAAATGAGAAAACTAAGTATAAAAAAACACTGTAAGTATACAATTCTTGCTGATATGAAGTAAAACGAAAATAAAACAATATCACCTTATTGCGTCTGAGGCGCTTTTCAAAGAAACAAATTAATAATTTGGTTTATTTTTTTTTTTAATTTAAGGATGCTCCGTTGTGGTTTGGAAAAAACAAAACACTGGAGTTTGAAAATTATAACATAGACCTTGATATTGACAATACATCGGAAGGAGTTCAGCTTTCCCTGGTTCATCGAGGGGTAAGAAAATGAGAAAAATTTCGAATAATAGTAGAATTGTTTCATTTGGAATATCTAGGACACATGTGATAAGATTGCTGAAATTTACTGAATAATGTATCCTATATATACAGGCATAAGACGTAGATATTGCATATTTTAAGCAATATACACGTAATTGCAATAATTACAATTTTGTCCAAACAAAAAAGTAAGGGAAACGTGCATCTCTTGTGTATGAGGTGTGAAGTTTCAGTTTTGTAAAGAGTGTGCAGTGCATGTTCGGCTTTCACAATTATACCATAACACTTTCAAGTTTTATAAATGAAAATTTTCAATCGTTGATATGTTATTTCACACATATTGATTTGTTTTGCGTACATGAAGATACAGTTTAAATTCCTAGATTCACGTTTTACTGAATACATGTATTTAGCGCATTTATTGTAATTTACTTAGCAAACAACCACTTCTCATAACAGACATTCTGACACAGCCAGATGTACTAGGCAATTGAGGAAAAACAGCTGTTACTTTTATAGTACCTTTTTAATTACGTACGCATGCAGTATTTTTACCAAACATTATTTCCTTGATACAAAGTAATTATTCGGCTGAGACAATATATTGACTGCTGAATATAAAAATAAGAAGATGTGGTATGATTGCCAATGAGACAACTCTCCACAAGAGACCAAATGACTCAGAAATTAACAACTATTGGTCACCGTACGGCCTTTAACAATTAGTAAAACCCATACCGCATCGTCAGCTATAAAATGCAAAACAATTTAACGGGAAAACTAACGGCCTGATTTATGTACAACATAATGAACAAAAAATGAATACCAGTATGATATAGAACAACAAAATACAACAACTAAATTACATATTGTCTTTAGTATTCAAACAATACTATCAACTCAACACCGTGGTCAAAATCGAATGAAAGCACATACAGTTAACATTACTTTTGTATTTTTAAGAATCAACCTGATAAAAGGTCGATATTTGTTTTCTCTGCAAAAAAATTTGAAATTGGCAGCACCTCACTACCTTCAACAACTAATATGAATGTACTATTGCAAAGAGTAAACGAGCAACGAAAACAGCGCACAGGTCCAGTGACTGTCGTATGCAGGTATTTTACAAACTAGACATTTTTTGTTTGTTTGGCAATATAAAGCAGAATTCCGAAAAAGCAATTAATACTTCAAGTTCTTAAATAAAGTACACATGCATTTGTTTTAAAATATCTAATCATAACCATTAACCAATGTCCATTCATTAATGCAGCCTAAAACTGAGACAATTATTTCGTTCTTTATAAAATTGAAAAAATATCGAAATTATGCTGAATATCGAAATACTTTTAAGCAATTGTCCAGGTTTGTTGAAAAAGCAATAATATCCCTTTTGATTTGAAAGAATATGACTAGCTTTTTGTATCATTTTTGGTATCATTTTAAATATAATGATGGAAGAAAATAAAAAAAAAGGATATTATTTATGTTTTCACATTAGAAATGTAAAACACAACAGACAACCACGACGTGTCAGCTGATATGTATCTATGCACTTAAAAGAATTACACTGTTTCTTTTTCATCAAAATTAATTGCTTTCTATGTATTATGATTTGTGTCCAGATAAATTGTAAAGATTATTTTTGATTGCTTTCATGTAAGTTATATGCATTGCAAAGATGACAGCAGATAAACATGAGTTATGTATGTTTAATTAACATATATTTTCCAGAAATGGTGCAACAAAATGCGGATTGTTTGTTGCATTAAGTTTGCTTTTAGAGAAAATGAAGATAGATGATCAAGTCGACGTGTTTCAAGTTATAAGAACAATACAAACTCGGCTACCAGAATTCTTATCAAATTTTGTAAGTTTTTTTTCTTTAAGGACATTGGTCAAGATAGAAAACATAAATATCACAGAAGCCGTCGGAATCATATTTTTGATTTCTTATACAACTGTCAGAGCAATACAAAAGTGCGAAAAAAATCAAGATCATACAAACTCACATCAAACATACATCACTTTTCAAGTTCAAAAGTCTGTTTTAAGTACAAAAGACATGTTATGTTTCTCGATTATAGTTCCTAGCTATAAACATGTATTCATTGAGTTCTAGATCTAATAAGTTCTAAGTCAGGAACCTGATGTTCAGTGGTTGTCGGTTGTTGATGTGGTTCATTAGTGTTTCTCGTTTCTCGTTTATTATATAGATTAGACGGTTGGTTTTCCTATTTGAATGGTTTTACACTAGTCATTTTTGGGGCCCTTTATAGCTTGCTGTTCGGTGTGAGTCAATGCTCCGTGTTGAAGGCCGTACTTTGACCTATAATGGTTTACTTTTACTAATTGTGACTTGGATGGAGAGTTGTCTCATTGGCACTCATACCACATCTTCTTATATCTATGTAAAATTATATAATTATTCGACAACATGAAATCTTAATCAAACAAGTCTATAAAGCATTCATACACATGATCAACGTAAGATGGGGATTTTTTTTCTTTTTTTCTTTTTAGGATCAGTACGAATATTGCTATAAATGTATCAAAGACTTTCTAGAAAGAGATTCGGTGTATGCTAATCTTTAGGGAAAGAGGACAATACATTTGTCTGTTTGAGTAAGCAAGGGATTTCTTTCAACGTACATTTTGTTATTAAATATAAAAAATAACCTTGTATGGACTTTAATACAATGCTCAATTATTATGCTACAATATAATTTATATAATGAATATATTTATATATGATTATTATGATTATTTATACAAATGACTGGTCCAGTCGGCAACAAAATTAATGTATTAGAAAAATAATTTGTGTATGTATCTCTTTAGATATATTTAGTATTTTGATGAATGTCATAAAAAAATAAACAAAATTAAAGCTACTAAGGAATAAATGTTCTACCCAATGAAATATGATCGTCCGCTTGGTATGTCTGTCTTCAAATAAACAATATTTACTCTTGTGTTGGGATGCTATAACACCAATTAACAACTAGAATTATGTGTCTTATTCAAAAATGACATATTAAAAAGGAGATGCAGACAATGTATTGTTACAACTGTTGGTGGATGTTGGCTTGCAAAGTATGTTGAACCGATCGATATTGATGAATCAACTCAATGTTTAGAATAAATACTATTTTTATACGCCCGTCAAAATTTTGACGGGACGTATTATGGTATACAAATGTCGTCTGTCCGTGTGTCCGTCTGTCTGTCCGGCGTAAACATGTCGCACCGTAACTTGAGAACGACTTATCCGAATTTCATGAAACTTAATATAGTTGTTTCTTATGATAGTCAAACGATCTGTATACTTTTTGGTGAAAATAAGATTAAAACTTTTTGAGTTACAGGACTTAGTAAATAAAACAGGTGTGTGTTTTTTTTTCACATGTCGCGCCGTATCTCAAAAACAATTTATGATTATTGGTAAAAACTTTACACACTTCTTAGTTATCTTAGTCTTAAGATCTGTATACTTTTTAGTGATGATTTAAAATTTGATTTTTGAGTTATTGAGTATTTTGTAAAAAAGGGGGAGGGGTTTTTCACATGTCGCGCCGTATCTCACAAACGATTTATGATTATTGCTTAAAATTTTACACACTTCTTAGTTATATTAATCTAAAGATCTGTATACTTTTTGGTTTGGATTCAAAATTTTATTTAAGAGATATTGATTTTTTTTTAAAGGGGGGTTTTCACATGTCGCGCCGTATCTCAAAAACGATTTATGATTATTGCTTAAAATTTTACACACTTCTTAGTTATATTAATCTAAAGATCTGTATACTTTTTGGGTTTGATTCAAAATTTTATTTTAAAGATATTGAGTTTTTTGTAAACAAATAAAAATTCACACACAAGACAACGGGCGTATCATGCGCTCATGGCGCAGCTGTTTATTACTATTTGAATTGAAAAAAAAATCTATTAATTTGGCGATGTCTGAGGGTTATATAAAAGTCATGGACCAATCCGCTCTTGTTTGATCCCTAATCAATTGATATAACTTATTAACGTATAATGTATTTTTAATAATAGTAGCACCTCGGGTGTCGCATGTGCAGCAGGATCTGCTTACCCTTCCAATACACCTGATATCACCTATATTTTGTTTGTGGGGTTCGTGTTGCTCAGTCTTCAGTTTGCTATACATGTATGTGTTGTGTGTGTTGTTGGTTCTTTTTTCGTAATTTCTCGGGTTTTTTTTGCCATGGCATTTTCATTTAAAATACGAAGTTGTGATATGAAACAACTCTCCACAAGAAGGCCAAATGACACAGAAATTAACAACTATAGGTCACCGTACGGCCTTCAACAATGAGCAAAACCCATACCGCATAGTCAGCTATAATAGGCCCCGAAAGAAAACATGTAAAACAATTCAAACGTGAAAACTAATGGCCTAATGTATGTACAAAATAATGAACGAAAAACAAATATGATACACAGCAACAAACGACAGCTACTGAATTACAGACTGACTTGGGACACATATAGAATTTGGCGGGGTTAAACTAGTATGATGGCGCTAACCTCCTCCTAACAAGGACAGTGGTGTAACAGTACAACATAAGAACAAACTTAAAAAATCAGTTAAAAATGGCTTAACTCATCTGATAGATACAAAGCAAAAATACATACAACAAAAAAAAGACCGGACGTGGCATGGTACTTATACATCCCCACAACAACAACAAAAAAGACACTAAAATTAAAATTGAGAATGGAAATGGGAAATGTGTCAAAGAGACAACAACCCGACCATAGAGCAGACAACAGCCGAAGGCCACCAATGGGTCTTCAATGCAGCGAGAAACTTCCGCACCCGGAGGCGTCCTTCAACTGGCCCCTAAACAAACATGTTGTCTGTTCTGTGGTCGGGTTGTTGTCTCTTTGACACATTCCCCATTTCTATTCTCAATTTTATACTAGTTCAGTGATAATGGACGTCACACTAAACTCCATATTATACACAAGAAACTAAAATTAAAAATGATACAAGACTAACAAAGACCAGAGGCTCCTGACTTGGGACAGGCGCAAAAATGCGGCGGGGTTAAACATGTTTTTTGAGATCTCAACCCTCCCCCTATACCTCTAGCCAATGTAGAAAATACAAACGTACAACAGTACGCACAATAAAACTCAGTTTAAGAGAAGTCCGAGTCCGATGTCAGAATAGGAAACAAAAGAAAATAAACAAAATGACAATAATACATAAATAACAACAGACTACTAGCAGTTACTGACATGGCAGCTCCAGACCTCAAACTGATTGAAAGATTATGTCTTCATCATATGAATATCAGGCATAATCCCTCCTGTTAGGGGTTTAGTATTATACCATCATAAAATATATGAGAAGAACACAACCCGTGTCATGCCAACAACTGGTTTTAGAATAACTATGTTTAATTCCGATGCAAAACCCTATAAGTGAATCAACATTAAAGCCAAAATATGCAATCTTTAATAACCTGACAACAGTATCGTAACTATATCCCTTCTTAATAAGTCTGTTTAAAGGTTTTGTTAGCTTTTGAGGTGAATACTGGCACTTTTGTGCTTTGTAAAGAATATTACCATAAAAGATTGGATGTGAAATACCCGAACGTATAAGATGTCTGCATGTTGAGTTATATTTACGAATGATGTCCTTATACCGATGATAAAATTTAGTAAATGTTTTGACTAGTTTATGATATCGAAAACCCTGGTGTAATAATTTTTCAGTAATATATAATTTCTCTCTAAGTACAGATCTGAGAGTACTTGCAGTTACTGACAGCTAGTTCAAAGCCAATAACAACTAATAAAAAAAATCATGTATCTAAGTCTAAAATATCAATCAGTACACATCCAACATCCAATGGACGTCATTGACTGTCAGAGAAAAACATGACCTTGTGCAATGCCAAGATACAGATATCTAAAACTAATACTTAGTTTGATTTTGATTTACTTATTAGAAAGTCAACGTTAATGCCAATGAAAAATTAGGCAAAGATCTAATTACAGTGTTGAATTGGTAACTTTTTAGAATAAGTGTCTGTAAAGGATAAATAAGTTGAACCGGATCGTATCTACATTTTCGGGCTCGGTAAACAACATCTCTGTAAAAATTAGAATGTGCTATACAGTTTGAATTTAGTTTTCTACAGGTAAAACCAAACTTCAGAAACCAAATATTTGTATCTATGGAAGAAATTCGTGAAGGTTTTAAGTAACTTGTGGTAACGAAGTCCCCGACTTAATCATTTACCAGTAATACATAGATTACGTTCATTGAAATCCAAAATGTCACAACAGACACGGGCATAGCGAACGAATTGTGATATATGAAGTTTGTTTTCGACTTACGAGTTTGATCATCCTTTTGATATATTTAGCCTCTCTTTTACAGGTAGTACACATGTTATACAATTTTTGTTTTTCTATATGATAAAACATGCACCTCAAAACTAGTCATTTTGTGGCCCTTTATAGTTTGCTGTTCGTAGTGAGCCAAGGTTCCGTGTTGAAGGCCGTACTTTGACCTATAATTGTTTACTTTTTACACATTGTGACTTGGATGGATAGTTGTCTCATTGGCACTCATACCACATCTTCTTATTTATACCTCATGATCTTTCTTAGATTTTGGCTAATATGTTTAGGTCGTTTATTTTGTAATTAACCTCTCCCCCTGTTCTTATACGCCTTTGGTTTTCAAATGTTCGGCCTTGAACGTTTTTGATGAAGGGAACTCCATATAAGCGATACAGACGCATTACATTTATAAAGTATTATTTTATTTTTTTTCTTAACGTTCATGTCATATGAAAACCAGTTTCTCAGATAACAATGCACGTGCATGTAATACTTTCCCTATTACATAAATCTTTAACAGCACTGAAGAACAGCAACCGATAATTCATACCAGCTGATATAATAATATTTCTATACTGCAGTCTTTCATTATTCTTTGCTGGTACTTATTTTTGACCTGCTTGAAATCATGACGTCATTATAGAGTTCGGGGCTTTTCTTTCAGCGATTTCTATTTGAGTTCATTTATATACCTGTTGTTACATGTATGTCATTGACCGAGAATTAAAGAGGGTGCCGGTTTGGTTTTTCAAGATACATGCAAAAATTTCTCATTAACGGACATTTTCCCATGGGAGAGGACATATGTTGATCTGACTCTAGAAGTTCTCCATTATACATAAAATACATCCAAGGAGGTATTCAATTTGTTGTTTAGGTCAGATTTTTGAAAAAAAAAATTATTTATCTATTCTAAATACATTTTTGTACTAGTATTTAGACTCAAGTCGATTGAGTTTTAATATGCTAATTGAATATAGACACCTATCAAGTGTGTATTGCTAAATATGTGGTGTTGGGTTGCTGTCCTATTGACCTCTTTCCATTTTTCTTTTAACCATGCTAGAATATGACATTTTCCATAATTGAGTCATATATGACATAATAAAATATATTGTTATTGATAATAATCTATATTACCAGTAATATATTATCAGAATGAAGATCATGTAGTTTTGAAGCTGTAATAAGCACATTTTCAACAA